TTTGCTAAGGAGTGTTGGTAACTGAACTGTAGGATGTTTAGCACATCATCCAACAGATGCTAGCAGCACCCTCCCACAAGTTTTAATAATCAAAAATGTATCCTAATACTGCCAAATGTCCCCTGGGGAGCAAAACTGCCCCCGGTTGAGAATCACTATTTAAGGATTTCTACTCTGAAAAAGAAAAGCTTTTTTGGGCGGCAGCACTGGCTCAAGGAGTAGGGCGCCGACCCCATATACCAGGGATGGCGAGTTCAAGCCCAGCACCAGCCAAAACTGAAAAAATAAATAAACAAAAACTTATTTTTTAAGCTTAAGAAGAGTTTACTGTTTAAAGTTACTTTTACCTATTGACTTGGTCTTTGCATTTTAAAAAATACAGCAAATCTTCCTTTTGGTAAAAACAAGGAAGCATAGATTTTTCCAAAAATAAACTGCACCCAACTAAACTCAAACTGACATATTAGGAGGTGCCACTGTATCTTAATTTCTGCAATAATGCTAAAAGGGAAACTTTTGCATACAATCTTTGTGAGTTTGCTTTAACAAATCAACAGGATCATAACGAGCTAAACAGTCTTACTGAAGACTACACATTCATGCATGCTACTACACAGTCCCAGTCCCAAGACATCTGAAAAGAAGTCACGAGGGAAATGGCATGCAGCTTTTTTGATACACTTAGCATTCTTATCACTGTTTATGATGCAAACATTAAAGGACATAATACTTCATTTATAAAAGACACAAAGCTCGGATATCTTGGATGATGGAATCAGTACTAAAACAGCTCATTAAACTGAAATAATGAATAATATGAAATTTACCCAGATGAAACAGAAATGTAAAAAGCTGCTTTTACATTGGAGGGGAAACCCCACAGAAATACAGGGTGGGGAGGGAGAGGGAGGTGAAACATGGTTTGAAACAGCTCAATATGTGACCCAACAGCACAGCATGACTCCTAAAAAACACATTAGAAGTCACCCAGATCGCCAGGCAGGGCCTATGACTCAGTGGTAGGGTGCTGGCCCCTACAGAGGGTGGCAGGGTTCTAACTCAGCCCTGGCCAAACTGCAACAAAGAAAAAGCCGGGCATTGTGGGGCACCTATAGTCCCAGCTACTTAGGAAGCTGAGGCAAGAGAATCACCTAAGCCCAGGAGTTGGAGCTTGCTGTGAGCTGTGATGCCACAGCACTCTACCAAGGGCAATAAAGTGAAACTCCATCTCTTAAATAAAAAAAGTCAGCCATATCAAGAGAATACATGATTCCAGGTGACATATGGAGCATTAGGTGCAATGCTGGTAGCCATACTTTATGGAGCCATAACAAACAAATGGCATTTCCAAGGAATCAACTACATTTCTGAAAGTCCTAAAGAGCACCTCCTTCAGAAAACAGCTCAGTCAACCAAAGGAATTTGGCCTGGAGAAAAGAGGACAAAAGTTCCTTAAAACAGCTGCTGGAATGTTTTGGAGAAAATGAGAGTAAATTCCTTTTGTCTTGCTATAGGATTAGTAACAAAGTCAGTGTCAGCTTCAGGGAGGCAGATCCAAACTCAATACAAAAGAACTCTATGGTCCCACTATGGAGTGGGCTACCTTTTAAACAGAGAATTTCCCAACATTGGGACTATCCAAACAGCAGCTGATTGAACGCTTTTCTTTTAGACTCCTGAAATAACTTCCTACCTGGTCTCCTCACTTCTACCCTTGCCTCCAAAGAGTCCATTATCAAATCTAATTACTCTCTGGCTTAAAACTTTCCATGGGCTTCCAATTATACTTAGAATAAAATCCAAATTTGAGACTTTAGTCTTCAAGGCCCTAAATAATCTGACCCTGCCCTTCTCTGCTGGTCTTCTCAAATGAATTTTCTCTTCACCATCTCAGAGGCTTTGCACTTCCTGATCCTTATTCACACATAAAGGACTTATTATACCTTTCAATATTTCTGTTTCTACTCATTCCAGCACACCATCACACAAAGTTAGAAGGGACTGAGGAAAGATAACTGCAGAGGACTATTCTCTGGCGAATGGTGAGCCAGTTTGCAGAAGTATTAATCCTGGAAACTACAAAACTACACAAAAATAAACTCTGTGATATGCCTCCGTGATATGCCTTAGGTTCAATGGATGCCTAAACGTGTATCCTGATGAATTGGGCTGACTTTTCCCTGATGACAGGGAAAATCCCGTGTCCACCGCAAGGTGCTGGTTCAGCGGCTAGAAGGTGCCCAGTAAATTACTCTCCTCTTGGGTCCTGCTTACTGCTTCCCTTCTGAACGCTGCTTCGCTACCACCTACACCTCTCTGGCTGACTCTCTAAATATTCTCCGAGAAATTTCTGAGCCACGTGGAGTCCGAGGAATGACAGGGTGAAAAGGGGTTAAAGTGCTGTCTCCATAGAGACGCAGCAACCGGAAATCAGCTCCACAGCAGCCAAACTCTGGCGATGCTAAGATGGGAATTTGGCCCGGGAGGCCAAAGCAAACTGGCCGAATCGAGCGGTGGAGAGTCACGCGCTACCCCGGGTCTGGCAAGCAGAACGCCTAGGAGCCAAACCTCGTGCCCGTGGGCGTCTGAGAAGAGTCGCAGCCGTCTGGAAGAGCGCCGGAAGCTGGTGTGGCCCTACTGAGTCTGGATGGCTCGCAACGCGGTCGGTAGTCGACTACCGGGTCAGGGCGCAGCGAAGGAGGCGGAGAATAGCAGGCGAAGTCATCGCGGGAACTGCCCGAATGCAGCCCCTCCAATCGGGAGTTCGATGGGCCAATGACGTCACGCGATGGGGCGGGGTCAGCGGGTTTGGCTAACTGCTGTCAGTGCTGTGCCTAATTTAGCCAATCACCGCGCCACCCTCTTATTTTGGCACTCCTGTGTCCCTGGGAAGCGACTTTCTCCGGATCCACACCTCTACCCTGCTACTTAGTTTACCCTGTTCAGACACAGGGAGAAAACTACCTCCGGGGCACAGGAAGGAGAAGCCCAGCGACTTTAGAGCCTGCGAGATGGGTAGGGTATGGGTGAGGACTGAACCGAAGCCACGAGAAGAATTTGGACTAAAATGAGAAGTTCTTAAATGAAAACTTTGGCACGGCCAAAGTCCTTTATTTCATTCAACAAATAGGTAATGAGCTCTATTGTTGGAGTGTTGCCAGGCGCTACCCTGGAAAGTTACCCCTGATTTAGGATATATATTTTACACAGCTCATAGAATGTAATAGACAATCTGGTGAGGTTTATTCCTAGAGACAGGTCTTGCTAATGTGTCCAGGCTTGCCTTGAACTCCTGGTTCAAAGGATCCTCCTGTTAAAAAAAAAAAAAAATCTTAGGGGCGGCGCCTGTGGCTCAAAGGAGTAGGGAACCTGCCCCATATGCCGGAGGTGGGAGGTGGAGGATACAAACCCAGCCCCTGCCAAAACTGCAACAACAACAAAAAAAAAGCTTAGACATCTGTGAAGAACTGGTACCTCAGATCATTCATGAAGGAAATTTCTTGCTAACCTCCTATAAGCAAGAACTTGCAAATTGTACCTATGTCTAGCTCCTAAAACTAAAGCCTATTTGATTCCATACTAATAATGAATTACATGTTTGTCTTACAGGTAACAGAACTGGAGACAACACAGAATCAGACATTCTTCCACCAACCCTGGGACATCTGCATAATTGATCTTTCCTTCACTCTCTAATTTTATGTAAAATGTAGATTTGTTGGGCTTCAAAAGAATATACACTCTATAAACCTCCTTCCCTACTACCTTTATTCTTTTCTCTGTATGCCTTTAAAATGCTGAAGGTTTCAACCTTCCCTTTGGCAAAACAGCCACATTTTGTCTGAGGTTCTTGTTTTTCCCAAGCACGTCCTCAAAATCCTGGCCTAATAAACCTCCATTGATTGAGATTTTTGCCTCAGTAATTTATTTGGGTTGACAGTTCCTTTCAGCCTCTGAGTATCTGGGATTACAAGTACAAGTCACCATGCCCAGCTCATTCAGCCCTTTGAAATAAAATAACTGGGTGTCAAACACTACACTAGGAGCTGGAATAGAGGGTAAGATCTGAAAATAGACATGATGCTGTCTTGAGGAGCATTAATGTAGGAAATACTTAGCCAAGCATTGTAGTAGCCACCTGTAGTCCCAGCTACTCAGGAGGTTAAACCATAGGGCTGCTTGAGCCAAAGAATTTAAGGTTGCTGGCAGCTAGGCTGATGCCATGACACTCTAGCCTGAACAACAAGGTGAGAATCTCAAATTTTTTCTTTGAGAAACACTGAGAACCTTTAAGTTCCTTAAACCTTTGTTCAGGTTAATAACTTCTATGTTTTTAATCAATATTTCTCTAAATTTTATATCACCTTGCCTTGTTTATAGTTTTTTCACGTATGTATATTCACTATGCAATATCTTGTTTTGTTCAATTTCAAACTTTAGGCTTAGTGCTCATAGCTGAGTGGTTATGGCACCAGCCACATGCACTGGGGCTGATGAGTTCAAACCTGGCCAGGGCCTGCTAAACAACAATGACAACAACAACAAAAAATAGCAGGACATTATGATGGGCGCCTATAGTCCCAGCTACTTGGAAGGCTGAGGCAACAGAATCACTTAAGTCAAGAGTTTGAGGTTGCTGTGAGCTGTATGTGACTCCACAGCACTCTACTGAGGGCAACATAGTAAGACTCTGTCTCCAAAAAAAAATTTTTTTTCAAACTTTATTTATGGAACTATGTATGTATTCTCAAGTAATTTGCTTATTTCAGCATTGCTTTGGATTAACTCACGTAAAAGGTGGCTGTAATTCTTCATTCACTGTTGTATAGTATGCCATTGTTTAATATACTACATTTATGTGTCCATTCTACTACCTCTTGGCATTTGGGTTATTTCCAGCTTTTACTCTTACTATAAACTATTACATTTTGTGCATTTCAACTGATGAAGGTGTACAGAATGTTCCCTACAGTGATTTTTTTTCTTTTTTTTTTTTAATCACCTGTTGGGGCCTGGGTTTCACCCCTGCCCATGATGCAGTGGGCCATGAACTGAGGTCCCTGCTGGCTCTGGGCACTGCATCTCACTCCTGGCTACAACCAAAGCCAGGGGTGATTTTCAACCAACACCCTGACCACCATCAGCATGCATATAACGGGTGGCCATAGTGGCCAAACCTATCTCTACCTACAGATAGGTGCCAAGGCAGCTCTCCCTATGGTAATTTTTTTCTAATATTTTTGGCAGGGACTGATAGTAAGAACTATATTGTACTTTGGAACCAAGTTCGTATGAGTACTTACACATAACTGAAACAAAAATGTCTTCAGATATTTGTTATTCTATATGAGCTTTTAAATTTTTCTTTTTTTCTTTTTTTGAAATTATAGTAAAGTACACATACCAAAATTAATCATTTTAACAATTTTGAAGTTTTCTTTTTAATACAGTGTACTCATATTTTTGCAGGAAGACTAGTCCCAACAGAGAGAAAGAGCACCCTTTAATAAAAATAAAAATAAAAGAGCACCCAAACACCATGTTTATAAGAGGAAGGGCTTTATTTACTGGCCGAGAGCTTATAGCATAGAAGAATTCCAAATGGCCATGCTCCCTAACTGCCTTGGTCTTTCCCTTTTTATTGACAGTCAAAAAGTCCCAACCCATAGGTACCCTTCTCTTTGGCCAGTTTGAATCAAGCGGGAGATGCTGTTTCAGCCCCTACAGAATGACAGTTCACAGAACTTGGAAATTTCCAAGTTCCAGAAGTTAAGTTTACAAATTCCGAAGAGCTGAATCACCATGGAGAGGACCCTGCAGGTGTATCCTTGTGGTCTCCTTGAGAATACTGTTCTCCTAGATCTCACCCTTCTCAAGTATCCTCTCTCAACAGGTTGTTTCAGACCCACTGAAATAATTATGTAACTCAATGGATCCCAACCTGGTTTTTTTGTTGTTGTTCTGGCTGAACTATTTCAAAATACGGGGCTGACATCTGACTCTTCACCTCATACAATAGGGGACAGGCTAAAAAGCAAACATAATAAACAAATGTGTTAAAAGATGATGAATACTATGGGGAAAACAAAATGAGGAAATAGAAGATGAAAGTATAGGGAAGATTTGTTGTCATTTTAAATAGGGTGGTAGGGTAGGCTTCATTGAGTAAAGATTTATAACAGATATAAACACCAAGGAAGAGGTAAGCATTCCATATACTGGAAGTAACCACTAGAAAGGTCCTAAGGCAGGAACTTGCATTTTGGGGAACAGCCAGGAGACCAGGGTAGCAGGAGCCAGGCAAGCAAAGGAGTAAGTATTAAGGAATGAAATGAGGGGCTTGGCTTATGTAAGGCCTTAAGGTTATTGTAAGGACTTTGACTTTCATTCCTTTTTTTTTCAGTTTCTGGTTGGGGCTGGGATTGAACTCATCACTTCCGTATGTGGCTGGTGCCCTACTCCTTTGAGCCACAGGCACCACCCTTGACTTTCACTCTTTTTTTTTTTTTTTT